GATTGAACCTGGGTCTCCCGCATTGTAGACAGACACTTTACCATCTGAGCCACCAGGCAAGTCCTCAAGCAGGATACATTGTTGTTATATAATCCTTAGTATGGGCTTCCCTCATAATACAACTTTAATTCTGAAAAAGACATCAAACCATTAAGTATGCGTCAGCTCTGTTTAGGAGGGATCTAAAATGGGCGGTGGGAGGGGATGGTCTATTCTCTGGTCTGGAGACGGGAGATTTGGCCCGGGCTCTCTCCCATCCCCACCCCTACCTTCCTCCCTACCCCTCCTCTTCTGCTCCCAGCGGGTGCTCCTTACCCTGTTCAGCTGACCAGGCCAGCTGGTTGCTCACAGTCTCCACAATCATGTTGGCAGCGTCTTCATCTTGGAACAGGGCTTGGATCTGCTGCAGGTCACCGGAGAACAGGGCATTGTGCACAGCTGGGTCCCGGCAGGAGCGGCGTGGCCTAGTGAGCCGGGCCTGGGAACTTGGGGGGCATCTTTGGCTCCGGCACTGCTGGGCTGCTGCCCGCCGCCGGTCCTCCCATTCCAGCCACTCCCGCTGCAGGCGGAGAGAGCGCAGGGTGGAGGAGGTGAAGGGGAAGGTCTCCTCCGCCATGGCGGGGGGCCCAGGGCGAGGGATCCAGGAGTCTAGGCGGCAGCAGCTGGGCAGGGCTGGTTCCCTCGCCTGACTGCCACCCTTGCTCTGAGAAGCTACCCTGCCCCCTCACCCGTGACCCAGAGAAAGGAGCAGCTGAGGCTATAAATAGGCCCTTCTCTGCTCTGGTAAACAGGGTTTGCCCAGAGTCATGATCTTGGTGCCGAGAAAGTGTTGGGCCAACCCCCAGCCCAGGGTTGGGATGGCCCCTGTGGATACCCTCTGACTGGGGAGCCGGCCCCCAGCTGAACCCCAGGTCTGCATTCTCCCACTTCTCTGGAGTGAGTATCTTGGGTCGGCCAGGTCCGAGGTAAGTGAATCAATCAGGGAAATGGACTGGACAGGCCTCTCTGATGTTGGCTGGAGACCAGACCCCAGCCCAGGAAATACTGGCAGGTCACATCAGAGTTCCGACAGTTCTGCTCAGCATCTGCATTAACAATACTAACTCCGCACATGGCTTTAAAATACTCAGATTGTTTTTATATCCACCTTTACTCAAGTCACCATACAGATTTCCTGGCTCCTCCTGGGTAAACAGCAACCTTGGTTTTGACAATAAATTATATGATCAGGCTGATTATCACAGCTTGAACACCTCTGAGATGGGTGGTCTTATGTCTGTTTCATGGATGAGGCACTTAAGGCTTAGCGAGGTGAAACCACTTGCCCAAGGTCACAGCTTGTGAGGGGGATCCAGGCTCGGATCCTGTGCGTCTAACTCCAGAGATGGAGTGATTCAGTAAGAGTGCCTCTCCCCACCTTGCAAGCAGGACAGCATGGTCCCTAACGCTGCCTTCAGTGAATCTTGGTTAGGGCTTTCTTGTTTGATTTCCCTTAGCTCCTAAAAGGGCTCACATGCCTGCCTGAGGAGGACCAAGGGCTTGACCTCACAACTCTGGGGACCATGGAGACCTTCAAGCTGCAAAACCACTCACCCAAAGTGGCTCTGCTTTCAGGAGCCTCTAGGGGGAGGAATGAAGCCATGAATCAGCACTAGCTGCCATGGTTCCAAGCAGTGAAGGCGAGGGTGGGAGGGAAGCTAGCCATCCTGGCCCCAGAAGCTCTCAGCTCCTGGGTGGAGGGTGGCCCCTTGGGGTCGGCCTGTCCCCATCCTGCCCTGACTGCAGGTGCACACCCTGGCTGTCCCAGTCCACACACACACACACACGCACACACAAACACACACACGCACACACGTGCTCTCCACCTCATTCTCACATTCTCAGTTACCATCTCAAGACACACACACACACAGGCTCCACATCATTCTCACATTTTCAGTTACCATCTCAAGACCTTTAACCCGGACCAGCCTCGCCTCCTACCTGGTGTCCCCCCTTCTGCCCCACGGCCCATAGGGAAAGATCTGTCTGCAATGGTTCATTTCCCAGCTTAAAAACATTTGCTGACTTCTGCCCTCTCCCACTAACCCCCGTGCCCTGGTTTGGCTCCGCGTCAGGAACCATTCCCCTCACATTTCCTCACCCTTCCCTGCCATTCCCTCCGCTTGGAAGTCCCTTCTGACTCATCCCTCAAAGTCCACCTCAAAGGTCACCTGCTCTGGGAGACACCTGCTCAGTTCTCCCACCCCTGAGGTTCCAGCCCCTCCCCCATCCATGCTCCTGGCTGACCTTGTGTATTGTGGCCCATGGCTTGCTGCCCCAGATATGGGCTCCAGAGGAGGACCTAAATGGGTTCAGTTGGGTTTCTGGTCCTGCAGGACATGGTGCACAGTAGGTCTTGTTGCAGGCTGGCCTCCTATGTGCAGCATGTTGACTGAAGGCCCCTATTCTCCACCAGAGCAGACACGCATTTGCATGCCCACGTGTGTGGCAGCAGCCTGGGCTGTTTCTGGCTCTGCCTTTACCCTGCTGTTCATCCACTCTGGCCCCAGCTTTTTGGTGATATTCCAGAGTGGGGGATCCCAGAGGAGCAATGAGATCATGCCCAGCGAGGGCTTGGAGATCCTCAGAGAAAGGCGCCTCTATAAATGCAGGTGTGATTAACACTGTTGGCACCCATTTGGTGTTTTAATTGCCCCGCCAACGGCCCGGCTGAGCACCCACAGCTGGGTTCCCAGGGTTGGGAGCTGGCAAGTGGGTGGGGCCAAGAGGGGCCTTCTCCAAGGTTCACAGTAGTCATTGTGAGCGGGGCCTGAGGCTGCGCTGACCTCCCCAGCCTCTCTGCAGCCTTCTTGCCACAGGCCTGAAGGTGCTGACTACAGCTCAGTCCCGAGACACTATATGTTGTGTGTCCTGTCCTTAGCCTTAACTTCCTGAGGGCAGAAAAACTATGCGCAACATTAACTTCCAGAGGCCTTTACTTCAACCCACACATGAACCCACAGGGAGCCCAGTTTTACTGGCAGAAACAGGGCCAGGTGACTGGATACCCAGCCTGCCTTCTGGGAGATCAGAGCCTGTGGGGTGATGGAGTACACAAAAAACCAGGACACCTGTTAGGATAGTTAAGAGTGAAGAACAGAGCTCCAAGGGGCTGAGGGGGATGGGTACACAGGCCGGGGGAACGGGTGGTTTAGCTGCACGAAGACCACTGGAGTAGAGGGCTCTGGCCCAGATCTAAGCTAGAGAGGCAGAGCTGGGGAGTTAGCAGCGGGGGAAGAGAAGGCCGTCTGTGGTGTGCTCATGTGTTGTTCAGTCATCAGGTCGTGTCTGACTCTTCCTGAACCCATGGACTACAGCCCTCTAGGCTTCCTGGTCCCTCACCATTTCCTGGAGTTTGCCCAAATTCATGTCCATTGAATCAGTGAAGCCATCCAACCACCTCAGGTAGGTGTTCAAGCAGGAAGACTTAGTGAGAGTGTGAAAGGGCAGAGCTGGTGAATTGGCTCCTGCCTGTTCCTGGGCTTGGGCCACAACAGCCTTCTAGAACAGAGTCCCACTGCCACCAGCCGCCAGGTGAACATGGAGCTCCTAAGGCATTTGCTCCCTTCAGCTTTGAGACTGGGATCCATGGGATCTCTTTGGAAACAGGGAGAATAACGCCTTCCCCACAGCCATGCCAAGTCCATTGGAGGCCCTGACTCACAGCTGCCTGGTGAAAGCCAAGGCATGCAAAGCTGGCCATTAAACTGGGCTCACATCCCCTCAACCATATGTTGAGAGCATCTTCCTCTTTTCCCTTCACTCCATAAAGGAAAACAAAGTTGGCTGGTTACTTGGTGTAATTAGATCTTTTATACCCCACCCATGACCCTTGTCCAATTCTTGCCTTCAAGGTGGTACAGAGAATCTACAGTGGCAAAGAGTTGCTTGGCAACAGAATAAAGTAGTAGTGGACTCTAACCCAAAGTATAAAATAAATATCCATGAGTGCATACTGATAATAAATGGGTAACTGAACAAAAAAATAAGGGAAAACAGACCAATCTCCCACGCAGAATTTCAAATCATCCATGTAGATATTCTGCCCTTCAAGAGGCAGAACATAACCCCTCACTCCTTAAGTGTGGGTGGCAAAGTGACTTCCTTCCAAAGGGTATCATGTGAAAAGGGAGAAAAAGAGTAACTTGACAGCAGACAAACCTGACCAAACCTGACAAACCCTATCTCAGCCAGGTGATCAAGGTCAACACCAACCCTTGATATGATGCGATGAGAACAGGAACTCACCTTTGTGCTCTTCCTCTCCCAAACACATAACCCTCGTCTAATCATGAAAACACACCAGACAAATTCCAATAGAGGGGCATCCGACAAGAGGTGAGACCTGTTCTCCTGGAAGCTGTCATGGTCATTAAGAAACAAGGAAAGTTTGAGAAACTACCACAGCCAAGAGAAGTCTATACGGACAAGACGACTAATTGTAACGTGGGATCCTGGAAGAGAAAGAAAATATTAGGGGAAAACTGGTTTAATGTCAATAAAGCATAGAGTTCAGTTAATAATGTGTCAATACTGGCTCTTAGACTGGTTGTGAGGTATAGGAGAACTCTCTGTAACATTTCTACAGTAATCCTGTAAATCTAAAACTGTCTAAAAGACAGTGGCTAAGACTCTGACCTCCCAATGCAGACAGCCTGAGATTGATCCCTAGTTGGGGAACTAGATTCCACATGCTGCAGCTAAAAGTTCACACGCTGGAACTAAAGATCCTGTGTGCTACAACTAAGACCCAGTGCAGCAAAAAAAAAAAAAAAAAATGCTGGAACTAAAGATCCTGTGTGCTACAACTAAGACCCAGTGCAGCAAAAAAAAAAAAAAAATGTCTATAAGAAAAAAGAGAAAGAAAATGAGTAGCTTTGGCTCTGTCCAGGCCAAGGCACCAGGGGGAGGGCAGACAGGACAAGGAGCTGGGAGGGTGGGAAAGAGAGGGAGGCGGGTGAAGCAGTCGGCTGCTTTTATTTCAGAATAAGATGCCCCAGCCATACCCATGCCCCCGCACCTTGAAGCCCTGGACACAGGTGAGCTGGGCAGCTACAGGCCTTAAGAGACAAAGAAGAGGGAAGCCTGAGTGTGTTCCTTCCTTGTCCAGAGGAACAGATCGCCACTGCTATGGTGTGGCTTCCCTTGGCTCCTCCGCTGTCCTGGGACTAGAGAGTCAAGGAACCAGGCCCAAAGTCAAGCCGAGGTGGGAGAGTGACACACCTTCCCTGTTGGAGGACGAGAAGGAATGTGTACCCGAGGGCTTAGAGGACAGCAGATCCAATCCCGAGCAGAGTTCCGCTTGCCAAAGGAAGACCCAAAGTGACGACAGTGCAGAATCCGAGGGACAAGGGTGTTCTCGGGGAAAGTGTCCAGGGTGGGAAGAACCACAGAGGTCCCAGAACTCTGCCTGCTCCCCAGCTGTGCTGGTCCTCCTCTCTCCCAGGCATGTGAGCAGACACAGCCAGAGCTCTGCCAGGCTGCTGTGAGGCTGCCGGCTCACGGCGGGTGCCCTGCCTTGGGGCGGTCCCAATTGCTGGTCCCACAGAAGAAGTCTTCGGGGAGCTCGCTCAGAAGTCCATCCAGGTCATCTGCAGGGGAGGACAGGGAGGGTGGGGAGACTCAGTGATAACCTGAGGCCTCTGTGTGACTCAGAGCTGAAGCTCCTACCCTTCATGGGGGTCTGAACCCGGCTGCAGTTAGAGAGGGGGCTCTCTGGGCAGTGGTCCTCACATCGATGGGCCTGAGGCTGGCCTGACTTCCATCTCCTTTTTGCTCCCCACACTCAACAAAAGGCAGAGGCAAAATGCCGGGGTCACTCTGCAAAGAAAGGGGCTCCCCCTGGGCCTCCATGGTTCTTCTTTCCATCCTGAAACACAGTGCCTGAGCAGAAAGGCATCGGAGGTCTCCTAGTGCAGCCGTCTGACTGGACAGAGGGAGAAAGAAGGCTGGGAAAAGCCCTTAGATGTGCTCAGAACCACACAGCTCATTCACTTGGTCTCTCACCTGCACTCTGCATGGCGGGAGACGTCACCGTCCCCTCCCCCAAAGCGCCTCTGTGAGCCGAGAGGACAGGAGTAACTGTCCTGACTACAGTTCTCGGATGGGTACTTCTGCCTGCGAAGCTGGAAACAGCTGACCTCAGTAACCCCCACTGCTGCTGTGACTGTGAGCAAGAGCAGCTAACATGTACTGGGGGCACATTGGTGCCAGGCACAGGCCCGCAAACGTTACAGTCATCACTTCACTTCGGCCTCACAGGGCCCCTGCAGAGCGCATCTCGTAGTGGTTCCTGTTACAATCCTTACTTTGCCCAAGAGAACAGGGTTTAAAGAGGTCAACAACTTGCCCAAGTGTGCATCCATTTGACGCCAGAGCCACGGCTTCCAACTAGAAAACGCCCGCTGAATGGACGGAATCAGGCAGGCCTAGCGTCAGTCAGGCTGGAAACTCTACCTGCAGAGGCCAGCTCTCAGTCTGGCACGGAGCACTGGATAAACACTGCTGCTAGAAGGGCAGAAGTCGGTCTGTGTGCATGCTCAGTCGTGTTGGAGTCTTTGTGACCTTATGGACTGTAGCCCGCCAGGCTTCCCTCTCCATGGAATTTTCCAGGCAAGAATACTGGAATGGGTTGCCATTTCCTATTCCAGGAGATCTTTCCAACCCAGGGATCAAACCCACGTCTCCTGCATTGGCAGGCAGATTCTTTACCACTGTGCCACCTGGGGAGCCCAGAAGTCAGTTTGGGGGCATTTAAATTTAACTAGGGTGACCAGCATCGTACCCAGGGAAGTAGGACTGGAATTTGATTTTAACAAAAAAGTTGCTGCTCACTAGCTACACTGTCTGGAGAAACACTAGGGTAAATGAAAGGGAGTGAATAGCCAGTGTGAGTCAAGGAGAATGGGACTCAGAGCAGGAATCCGCATCTGTGTCTCCCAGTGCTGCCTGGCCACCACCAGCAGCTGCCTGCCTGGCAGGTCTGTCCCTACTCTGGAGACGTGACACCAACCACAACATTCTACAGGCAGCTTGCCTCACTCTTATTCCATGACCACCAGCAACCTTTTGAGGAGGGTTTGGCTTGTCCTCAAGCTGACTTACAAGGAGATAGTGGAAGATTCTAGAGAAGATTCCAGCACATGGGGTAGATACTTTTTCATACAATATAAATAAATGGGCTCTGTGGCTTATCCATGGTTTACTGTGAATTTGGTTAACATGGAGACACCTACCCATAATCCCATGAGGGTTGCATTTATGGGATCCAAGAGCTAAGGACCAGACCTAGATTGTGTTAGCATCATCTGGGTGAGGCTCCCTCCTGAGGAACAAGTTGGCCCTCCAGGAAGAGGTTTGTATTTGGGCCTCTCAGGTCTGTATCCTGGTCCCACCCTGACCACAGGGATGATGGACCCCTTAGCACCACCTGGAGGGCCTAAGAGCTTTGTCAGGATGGAGAAATCTGCCTCTGTGGTTTAGCCATCAGCCCACAGAAGACTCAAGGCTGGCGCCAGTCTATCTCCTCCTTGTGGCTAACAGCACATGGCCTGGAAACGCGGGAGCTGAGGATCACATTCTTTGTGTTAATTAGTTTGTGGCCTGCAGCCTTGCCAGGAAAGACACCACATCTAATTTCTGTAAGATCCAAAGATTCACGGGAGGAGGAACAAGATGCAGCCAGGACAATCTGCCTGAGCTATTTAAGAGGAAATAGAAGGAGAATCTTTTTGGTTCCTGGGTGGACTTGGACTGATGTTCTTCTTACCTGCTTCTGGGAGTTCTTTCTTGGGGGATGTCCCTGCCTCTGGGTTCTGTGCTGTTTGGAGGCCTTTCTCAGGCTTCTCACTCTCTTGCTGGAGGCTTTCATGGAAGCTTCCGAGGTCCTGGGGACAGAGGATCTGGTTACCAATACCTGTGACCCTGAAATCTCTCTGGACAGTACCATCTCCACCCAGACAAGCTCAAAGGAATTGGTGGGGGCTCAGGAAAGACAGGACAGAGGAATGCGGCAGTGGCCAGTCACACAGTGGCCAGTCACACAGCCCATGCTGGTGAGGTAGCTGAAATACCAAACACCCCAAAGAGCAGATAATTTAAAAATACATAAATAGAACCAAAAAAAAACTTTTTGGTTGATTTTCTTTTCTAATTCAGTTGGTTTCTGATCTTTTAGGGATCTCTATAACTGGAGCAGACAGTGAAGAGGCCATTCAGAAATATACTAAGGAGTTAGGCTGGAATTAACAACAAGCTGTTAACAACCCCCCAAATAGCTAGTATATGAATAGGTAATTAAAATTAGTAATTAAACCTGTTAACCATTGTTAGCCCTAGGGAATGCAAACAGGGAAGGATCAGTTTTATGTTTCTTTATTCTGTACCATTTCAATTTTTTTTCAACAAGTATGGATGACTTGGATTTTGGGGGGTGGGGCATGCAATTTGGCTTGCAGGATCTTAAGTTACTTGACCAGCAGCTGAACCTGTGCCCCCTGCAGTGGAAGCATGGAATCCTAATCACTGGACCACCAGGGAAGTCCAGGGGTGACTTGAAATTTAAAATGAAATCGAGATGCTTTGTTAGAAAGGGGTGATACTGAGAGAATGTAGAAGGTTAGGGAGAAAGATGAGAAGTAGCAAGTTAGAGCTAAAAGCATAACTTGACTAGACGTCATTGAGTATAACTTTATAGACAAATCAACAGCAGGGGAAGGGACAGGACTTGCCCAAGGTCATGTTACAAATTTCCAGCAGAGCAGGGACATGACCCAGGTCTCCTGACCCCCAGGCCAGGCCAGGCCAACAACCCAGGATCCCAGGAAGCTGCAGGTGGCCACAGAGAGGACACTGTGTGCCAAGTCAAGGCCCAGCTCTGCACTCTCACCCTGGAGTGGAACTGCCTGGAACTCAGTCTTCCTTGGTTCTCAAAGGCATTCTGGGCTGGTGTCCCCTCACCTAGCAGAGGTGGAAAGCAGGGGGAAATATGCCGAGCAAGGGCTGGCTCACCTGATAGACCATCTGTAGCTGTCTGTTCTCTGCACAGCCACCTGCAGCAAGTCCAACCCTCAGTCACTCAGTGAGGGCCCCGCCCCCTTGTGGACTATCACCTTGGTTAGTTCTCAAATAACTCCCATGCTCTGTGACATTCAAGTCTGCCATCAGACACTCAGGGATCACTCAGAAGCCAGCTGCTCCTCTAGGTCCTGTTACCGTGCCATCTGGCAGGTGGCTGGACCAGGGACAGGAGGCAATGGCCCTGTCCCCAAAGGCATCTTTTCACCTTAGGGCAACTGTCCAACTCACATCCCTGCTCACCAGGGTGGAGGAAGGGAAGAAACCAGAAGGTCCAGGTGGAGAGCGGCTCTATCCATTCCTCCTCCATCCTGCTCCTCTTACCTTGGGGAAGGACTGAGATGGCTTAAGGATGTTCTCGTCTCCAGAATCTGGACTATAAACATGGACCAGGTTGTTGGGAGTCACGTTGAGGTAGTGGTTTCGGAGTGAAGGAGAAAACACTCCGATCTGGAGGAGAGAAGAGGTGGGTGGGGGGTCCAGTGTCCTGACAGAGCACCGATGGCCACCTGGTCCTGCCTGCCTCTCCCTTGTTGACCTCTGCACCAGGATCACAGAAATCACTCCTGCCTCAGCCCTGGTGCTGAGTAGAACCACTCACCCACCCCTGGCCCTTCACAGACCACTCCCAGTCACCCCCTGAAGGATGGAGGTCGGGCCTTTACTCGGCTCCAGTAAGCCAGGGTCCAGCACCAGTGCTGTTACTCTCTGCCCGGGGCCTGGGAGGGCAGGGAATCAGAGAGATAACTGGGGCTTTCTCCATGGAAGGAGGGGGAGAGTACCTGCTTGAGCAGCAGCACTGAGCCAGGCTTCAGCTCATTCTGGCGCGTCTCCAGCAGCAACCTGTGCACCGTGCCCTGCATCTCTCCTGCAAACACCACGCCGCCCATCAGTCTCAAGGTCAAGGGCAGCACAGTGCCCGGTCTGGGCCAAGCTGGGAAGTAGGTGGCTCACTGCCTCAGTTTTCCTAACTGTGAATGCAGAGGGTGGCTCCTCTTCACCTCCTGACCTCAATAGGGCCACCCGTCAGACACCAGAACCTAACTCCTCACCCGTGGGGTCCTTGAAAACCGCACTGGCGTCCATTGCGCTCCGAGTCAGGGACTTGATCATCACTGCCATGTTGGGGACTTTGTTCCCAGGAAGCTGCTTCAGGGCTGCCTGGTTACAAGGAGAGGCATTTGCTGAGCCAGCCATGTCCCATCTGTAAGGTTCCCAAGTGAGCCAGGGCAACCTGGGGAGGGGTGGGGGTGGTGATGCAGCGTACCAGTGTGGTGATGATCTTCCTTTGTGGAGGGCCAAGGGGCAGTTTAAAGGGCTCAGCCCATCTCCCACTGGCAGACTTGAAGCTGGCAGGTCCTTCATTTCTTTCCCCTGCCTCCTTTCTCTTATGTATTTATGTGTATATATTTATATAGATCTCTACCACGTAGGCCACAGGCAAGAACATGTTAGCACACGTTAGTCATCTGCACATGACTTCTGACCTATGGGGAGCTCTAAGGGGAGCAGTGTGCCTACCCTACCCCATTCAGGACTCAGATGTATGGAGACATGCCCGTAACCCACTTCTGCCTGTGCCTGATACTGTGGATGGCAGTGAAAAGGTAGGTGAGTGGAAGATACAACCCAATGGTATCTTCATGCTGCTGCTCAGAGACAGGCCTAGGGTAGGAAGGAGCAAACAGAGTGCCCTTTCCTAAGGTGGAGCAGGGAAGGTTGGAAGAGATATAAAAACGGCCTTTCCTCTGGGTCTCAGCGTCCAGAACCCTTACCTTTCGCAGCACCATGATGATGCTGTAGGTACAGAGGAAGCAAGCAGGATCTCTCTCATCCAGACCCAGAGTGGATTTCATGGTCAGCCAGGGCCCTCGTCCAAAGTCCTCCTCCACCGATGCCTGGGAACTGGTAACAACCTGGCACAATGGAGCAGAAGGGAAGCCTGGGGTTCATGGGTCCACTTTGCTAGAGACTCCAACTGAGCCGGGACGGAGGGCCGGGGAGCAAGGGTGAACTCCCGGCAGCACGGTGGCCATGCTTTCTCCCTTCATTTATCTCAAGGTTCAGAAAAGGGTATGTGAAAACTCGCTGCATATCACATCTTTCACTGAGAAACAAGAGCAAAGGTGCTCTGTAACTTAGTTTAGTTTAAATCAGGACCTGACTTTAATTATATTAATGCAAAAGGCTAGCTACGCTTGTCCCTTGTAATGAACTCAAAAAGTCTTAGGGCTAGGGAGTCCCCACATACATTTAAAGGCTTCCAGGCAATTTTGAAACCAATTATATTCTACTTGAGATGCCTCTGGGTTTAACTGTACACCTTGGTATATTAAAAAATGCTTTAAATTCAGATGAGTATTTACTATTTTGGAGCTGAAATGGATTGGTGGATATACAGAGCTATAGCAAAAGAGAAAAACTTCTAGAGAGAATTAAAAGCAAAAGTGGGTCTGGGGACAGAGCAGGTCAACCAGAATCCCAGGGAAGATGGAGGCTGAGTCTCACCCACCAAGAGGGAACCCACCAGAGGCAAGGTGAAGGCACAAGCTTCCCAGCTTGATTCCCAGAAACCTGAGAGGAAGGGTTCCCGAGATACAATTTCCTGATACTTATTACACTCTCCTCCACTGAGGGCAGATGGAGTTAGCCAGGCTATTCTTTCTTAGCTGGGAAAGAAGGCTGAACCCATGGCATCAGTTAACACCCCTTTGGCATCAGGATGGGCGTCCCTCAACGTGCTATGATGTGTGACCCCAGAAAAGGGGCTGAGCATCACTGATTCTGATTCTCAGCTTCTAAAACACACAAGGATATCCCTCTCTCTTAAATGAGTCCCAGGAAGTTAACATTTGCATGGAGTCAGTTACCTCTGTCCGGAATTTTGCCAGAGCACCGTGAGTCGGAGTCTGGGGCGTGGAAACCATGATGTCGTCCAGATTTTTCCCACTGTGCTACGAGGGGAGAGAGGAGGAGAAGGCGAGAGCAAGCTCAGCAGCTGTTATTTACAAGTACAGCTTCTTGTCTGGGTTACATAATGAGTTCAGGAAACTATCAGGGACAATTAACACATATTACATCTCTCCTAACGAAGTCTCAAGAGCCTTGCTGGCAGCTCAAAAAAGACGCTTTGGGGACCGTTTGGGGAAATGTGAGGAAGCTGGAGCTGGCTCAGGAACAAACCCTGGGGCTTCCTGAAGGCGGTGATGACCTGAATAGAGGTCTGAAGTGAGTAAGAGCGTAGCTTTCCCCAAACCCCTTCTCGGGGACCTCACCCTTCCTGACAGGGATCCAGCCCAGGAGGAATGTACATGGCTTCCTTGGATTTCTCTTAAAGTGCCAAGTTAATGGGTAGAAATCACTTCTGATTGAAGAAGACACCCTTCAAATGTGAGGAAAAGGGGTAACCTATCACAACCAGACCAGATTCTCAGAGTCCAATTATCTCAGATTGGATCTAAGACTAGTCTGAGGGACCCTGTCTCTCTACTGCTGCCGAAATCCATACTCCAGGCTCAGCCCCAACTGCCCCACAGTGACCCCCCACACCAGCCACACTGAGTGGTTCCATGAACCTCCCAGAGAATCTGTGCCTCTGCACACACTCTCTCCTGTCTTTCCAGGGCTGAAATGTCCTCCAGGATGCAGCCGTCCAACACGCACCTCCGTAAATCTCCTATTCATCTGTCCAAAACCCAACCAGGAAGCACAAGGAGCCCAGTGTCTCCCCGGCACCCAGGGAATGACCTCTACCCTCTCTGTCCCTTTTACGTATAATCGTTTGTGTCTGCTTCCTCTACTCCCCTGGAAGCTCTGCAGGATGAGAGCTATTTCTATGTTCATTTCTGTATCCTCAGGTCCAAGCAAAGGGCCCAACACATACCAGTCCTTAGTAACTATAAGAGAAGGAGTCTTCCTGCCCCGGGGCCAGTAAACAGTAGGTGCTCAACAAATGAATGGAAACTGTGCTGTTCTCAGAGCCTTAGGCATCTCCATCTCTGTGGGTTTTCAGGCATTCCGTTCTCCCCACTTCTGACTTCTCCCACAGCTCTGGAAAGCCCCCAGCCCCTGCCCTTCCTTCCTTCACTTCCTGGGGGACGTGAAGATCCTCTGGGATTGGGCAGGGCTGGGACACACCCAGCTGCTCTCCGGCGGCCTGGGGAGTTCTGGCTCCGGCCAGAGCAAAGCTGTCACTCACCTGGTGAGGCAGGAGCCCTGCTGGTCCGGGGAAGCGGCGCGTCTTGGCACGGGTGGAGGTGCAGGTGGGTTTCTGGGGTGTCCGGCTGGCAGCGGTGACCAGCCGCACCAGGTGGTTGGTGACAATGGGCGTCTGCAGAACGGCTTGAGGGAGCAGGGAGGGACCGGGACCCTTCAGGGTGCAGACAGGAGACAGGACTGAAGATGCTGAAGTTCGGGGTTGGGGTGGGCTCTGAGGAAACAGTCCACAGCTGGTCTTTGAGGGAGCAGCACAGCTTGAGTTGGGAGTCCGTGGTCTAAGAAAATGGAGTTTGCCACTTGAACAGGTGTTTGGAGACCGGAATGGCTGAGCAGGGAAACGATTTTGAGGGCTGCTCTGAATGGGCCTGCCAGCAGCTTGGAGAGGCTGGGGTGTTCGAGGAGGGGGACCCACAGGAGAAACTTCCCAGGGGGGTGGCTGAGCACGAACCATCGAGGTAGCTGGGAGAGGAAAGTTACCCACAGCACCAGGTCTCAAGTGAGGTTGTGGAGTCCTGCAGAGGATTGCGGGATCTGGGGGTGCATCATGGGCAGATGGGATCCCAGTTACGTGGGGGGCAGGCACAGGCCCCCTTTGACAAGGTCTGCTCAGATCAGCCACCCGAGCCTTCTTAGCCAATGTGGAGTCCTCCTGCTGCCAGCTGGGTGGGATTCCTGTGGCCTCACTGTGAACTCCAAGTTGCAGCTCCAAGCTGGGCCCCTCCAGCTCCATGCTTGCCAGGACCTTATCAAATTCATCTTGTTCAGGCCCCTCGAAGCCACCAATCACTTGCTGTTTGCTCCTGAAGGTAAGCTGGGGGTGGGAGGCTGAGGCCTGGGGTCTTCCTGGCTCTTTGAGCACTTCTGTCAGTGTCACTCTTCCCTGATTGCCAGTCCAGCTGCTGGATGTCGAGACAGATCTTAGGGGAGCTGTTCCTGGGGGAGGTGGATCCCCAGTAGCCCTAGGCCCACCGCAGGTAGGAAGGCGGAATCCCAGGCCTGGCGGGCCCTCAGCTTCTGCTGGGGCAGTGACTCGGGGCAGCAGCTGGGCCTCCTGTGGCCGGGAGGAGACAGGTCTTAGGCACCCGGCATTTACAGGTCGTGAGCCAGCAAACTGGTTCTCTGCATCCTCCACAGCCGACAAGAAATCCTACAAAGAAGCAGAGACAATGGGTCTTGGCATCTGGAAATCAAGAAGCACTCTGCTTTTACTGTTTCAGGCATGTAGTGTGTGTGTGTGTGCAGATACACGCAAGCAGGAGACCAAGACACGTAAAGCAGTTGTAGACTCTCTCACCACCTTTGACCTTGCCCAGGAGTCCACCACCAGGATTCTGCCAGACACATTCTAAGGCTAAGTCTTCAGGTATCTTCTCTCTCTTCAGTCTCGAAGGGGAGGGGAGAGGAGGGGTGGTGGTGGTGGCAGTTGGAACAGTAAGAGAAGCAAAGGAACCAGGTCACCAAGGAGTCAAACAAATTCCCGAGGGCACACACCCGTCTCAAGGAAATCAGCTTTCTGGTGTCCAGCCTGTGCACTCAGGAGCTGGTTGCTTCGTGTCCTCAACCCACTCCTCCCCCCATCTCACACACACACATAGAGTCTTTGGTAAGTCAAAGAGGCCTTGGATCCAGCAAAATAGGCAGAAGTTAAATATAGCTTTTCAGGCAAGTTAAATTAAGTATGGATTCCAGTTGGGAAGCAAGGTGAGATTGACACCTTCAAGAGCAACAGACCTGTTCCGAGGGTGTTTTTGAGTCAGAACTGCTGATTTAACTGACAGGAAGGTCTCCTCCACTCCCACCCCTGCTGCTGCACTAGATTGTCTAGGCTAGAGAAAGGATCTTTCCTGCTTGGTGTATTATCAGGAGGCTAGCATACTCCAACAGGACTACTTTAGGACTTAGTAATAATAATAATATTAGAATTACAGCAGGAATAAAATCCTGATGACCCTGAGAGTTGATGGAGCCCTTTTTCCCTGAAGAGCTCCCTCTCCGACATGATGTCATCTGCCTTGGGAAGGGGGAAGGGACTGGTCATGGAAAAGAAACTTGAGCTGTCAGAGTCCTTCACTCTTAATTCCATTACTAGCCTAGCAGTCCTACCTTGACCTGGTAAGACCCAGGAGGGTCACTTTTTCAGCCTGTAATTACACATCTCCAAAGCTGAAAGACAAAGACAAGGACACATATATCCTTGACAAAGCTGGCAGTTCTGAGTTATTTTTAAAAACAAAAATCAAGTCCCCAAATGATAACAAAACACCTAACATGTGAAGCACTTCAATGGGTGCCCAGTACCATGTAAACATTTTACCAGAATTCTCTCAATGAACTCTCACAATGACCCTATGAATAGGTATATTATTATCCCTGTTTTATGGATATAGAAATCGAGACTCAAGAGAGGTTAAGTAACTTCACAGAACCAGGACTGGAACTCATACATGCCTCTGTCACTATGTCTTGGGGCCTCAGGGTGTGAGACAAGCCAGAGAGGGAATTTTTAAAGGTCTGTTTTTCCCTTCAAACCTCAGGTTTCAAAAGCTTCAAAGGGAGGAAAGTGTGGGGCTGTGGCTGCCACAAAGGTCCCTGGTGCACCATCTCACTAGGCATAAATTAGGCATTCAGACAAATCCAAAAGTGGTTTTTTAAAAGCAAACCACTGGGGGTCAAAAAGTAGCTCTGGCTTGTCATTGATAAAGGTAATTGATAAAGCCATTTATGGCCTGTCATTGATAAACCAGAGCAACTCTATTCTATAAACGTAGTTTAGTAGTTTCCATGTACATTAGACTGGAGTCACATCTAATGTTAATGCTGGCTATTGGTGCTGTATTTTTTTTTTTTTAGCTTGCTGGGCCTTCTTTGCTGGATGGGCTTTTTTCTAGTTGCGGCGAGTAGGGGCTACACTCTAGATGCAGTGCACAGGCTTTTCACCGAGGTAGCTTCTCTTGTTGCGGAGCATGGGGCTCTAGGGTGTGTGGTTTCAGTAGTTACGGCACGTGGGCTCAGTAGTTGTGGCTCCCCGGCCCTAAAGCACAGGGTCAACAGTTGTGATGCACGGGCTTGGCTGCTCCACAGCATCTGGGATCTTCCCAGATCAGGGATGGAACCCATCTCTTCTACATTGACAGGTACAGTCTTTACCACTGAGCCACCAAGGAAGCTCAGTGTTGTATTCTTAAGCGATTTAATTTACCTCTGGGGGCTTTATTCACTTAAATTCTGTTTCCTTCTGAAAAGGATTTGACATAACAATTTTGGGCCACCCAGATAAAACTACATCTGTTAGATCTTAGTGGGAAGACAGCGTTGCAGATCACTAGTTCAGTGGTCTCTGGCTGCACCCAGAGATTAAAAATACCCCTGCCTGGGCCCATCCCCAGAAATTCTGATTTATTGGGTATGTGGCAGGGACTCAGCAGAGGTGATTCTAAGATGCCAGCTTCAGGTCTAATCTAATCCTTCATCTTCTCCAGAGAGAGAAGAGAAGGGAAGAGTGTTTGAGGCAGAAGAACATCCCTCATGTTCAGAGTAAATGGAAGGCCAGAGAATGAAGTACTTTGCCCTGGCTCAGGTGGCCAGTTGGTGACTCTGGGTCCCCTGCTGTCTAGTAGCTGCGCTGTCTCTGCCTCTCCATTAACTTTCTTCCCACATGAAGTATATCATCATGAAGGTGGATCCAATCATCCACGTGACACAGCTTCCAGGCAAAGACCCTTATAATTTAAAGGTATGACAATTAAGCAGCTCATCTCTCTGGTTTTTTATTTGTTTTTAAGACAGTTAAGTGGGTTGTTTATATTTCTCATCATCTCTCAGACTCTCACCAAGAAAAAAGGAAAAAATGATACACATGTCAGGTAAAAGGAAACTTGGATTCTAGGTCTGGGTGCCATCTCTGATCACCAACACTTCCTTACCTCATCCTCAAACTCCTCTTCCACAGCAAACAGCTTCTGCAGATTGCATGCCTGAAAGGAAAACAAAGCAATTGAGGTTGGAGGAGAAATACCATTTACAAGTACATTTTGTCTTCACTCTGCTTTTTCCTAATTCTAACAAGACATCAGGTGTACTGTTTTCTGTTTTTTTTTTTTTCTGTCGTGTTGGGGAAGGAATAAAGGATGAGGAGAGATGTGGTTTACTTAAAGACTTAGATGATGATTTAGAATCCTGTCTTATAAAATAATTCCCTTAGGTCTATCTGCGTTAATCTTGTAATAAGAGGGAGGAAGCAAAGGGAAGGCTGCCCAAGGGAGCCTGTGTCATTCTTTAGACCCAGTACAGGGCATGTGGGTCTAAGGATTTTGCCACACCCCCAAAGGCTTGGCCTGGGGAACTCTTGTCAGATGTAAGGGATATTATCATAAATCCAAGCATGCCCAGCACAGAGGCCTTGCTTCTGACAGACAAGTCAGTGGTTTCCTTTTATCTAACACCCAGAAGCTAGGGTCTTGGGAGGGTGGGATGTACTTCCCCCCACCACCTACCCCGCCCCCCCTTGTCCCCACAGATCCTCCTTTCTGGACAGCAGGGCTGCTGTGGCCGGCATTAAAAGTCTGTCAACCCTAGAGCCAAGGGCTGTGCCTAACTCCAGCTGCCGAAGCAGCAAGAGCTACAGTTAGGGAGACCTATCGCCCACTGTCAAGAAAACAGACTGGAATGGTTGGGTGAGGGGGAGGGCCCGAGAGGCGTGACGTGTGAGCACACCCGTAAGGACGAACCGGAGTCTTCCTTGGTGAAACGGAAGGCTAAAAGACTGGGAGATGAAGCCCTGAGGGAGGTGGGTGGAGAGACCTTCCTTGGGGGGCCGGGAGTGTCCAAGCCGAGCCCTGACTAGAGCCCAGGCGTCCCGACCCCACCAAGCTCTCCCTGAAACCCCAACCCGATCCTGCAGTTCGCACGAGGGAGAGGCTGGAACCCGGAAGACAGGTCCCTGCGGCCGGGGGACCAGGCGGCCGGGTGGTCCCAGGCGCGGCATTACCATGGCGACCGCCAGTAGGCTCGGGCCGCGGCTTGGCCGGACAGACCCTGACTCCAGGGGTCGCCGGGGCTTCGGCCTTGGTCCACGTAGGGAGGGTCAGAGTCCGGGCGACAGTGTCTCTGGGGCGAGGTCGGAGAGAGCACTCTTTGCAAGCCAGGCTGGGGCCGAAGGAGGGTGGTCGGGAACCCGGGGGCCGACTCCCTAGGCCGCGTTCGAAGCCGCCGCCACTCAGCGTCTCCGCCCTCTTAAAGGGGCGGATCTATTTCTATCCCGCCGACACAAAGGTCCTTCACCGCGGTCTTCCGCCCCAGCCTTAAAGGGAAAGGCATGAGCTCTCGGTCGCCCCCCAGCAGACCCTGGATCCAATCCGCTTGCTCGGTGCGCACTCGGGTGAGAGCAAGGTTGGAAATTTGGGGCCCATTACATCCCATCCTGCCCACCTTCCTCTCTTGTGTTAATCATACTAGGGACTGAGTATTAACAGAGTGACTCTCATTCACACCAGAATCCACATTGTTCGTTTGTCTGTTCATCTGTCCATCCATCCATCCATCAATCCGTCTATTCTTGCCACACGTATTTATTAAGCAAGATGTTCCCAGTCGGGCTGTTCTCATCCTTCATGTTTCAGTTTAGATGTCAGATCTTCCCTGTCACATTAACCTCTCAAGTAACATCCCTTGCCCCATCACAACGCTTAATTTCCTTCTCAGCATTTTTCATTATTGATAATCGTCATGGTTTACATCTTTATTGTGTGTCTTCCTCACTAGAATATGAACTCCATGAGGATAGGGACATTGTCTGGCTTGTTCAACTCTGTATCCCCAGCACTTAGAACAATGCTCTATAGAATTAATAAATGAAAGACACAGCGACTACTATGTATCAGGCACAGTGCTTAACATTGGGGATAGAGAAATGAATGACTCCTTGTACTCTCAAGTTCATGAACAAGTCAGGGAGAGAATTTCCTGGTGGTCCAGTAGTTAAGACTCCATGTTTTCACTGCCTTGGGTACTAGTTCAGTTCCTGGCTGGAGAGCTAAGATCCTGAAAGCCACACAATGGCCAAAAAATATATGTATTAAATAAATAAATAAAATATGAACAAGTCAGGGAGATACAGAACAAAAGATAGAGAGCAGGAGAAGGCCTAGTGATATGGGGAGTCCAGTTGTTATCACTAAAGCCTATTGTGGTTACTGATTCAGCCTGACCTCAGTTTCCCTTCTTGCTTATCACGAAACAGTTGAGAGACAGTACAGGTTGCATAGTTTTGAGGACTCAAAAGGCAGGAGAAAGGTAGCTGATGTGAGTTCTTAACTATCTGATCTGAACCAGCTATGCATCTTCCCAAAGGCAGACTACTTGGCCTTGTCTGACCTCATGGAAGCCTATGACTTCCATCATTGTTCCTTGTGGACCAGTTAACCTGTCATACGTCAGAATGGTGATGAGAGAGGAAACCTGAACCTCTAACTCTCATCCAAGTTAGGAATCCCTTCAAGCCCTTTGTGCTTCTGAACTAGGGGACAGACCCCCAACCCTCCCATTTACAGGCCCCCTCTCCTCCCAGGGAACCCAGGCAGCCCAACTGTGGATAGTCCTAGAGACCCAGTTACAGGGCTTCATGTGGATCTGGGCTCTGACAGCTCCAGCTGAAGGGATCACAGAGGCCAAAATGCCAAGAGGAATACTATCAACTACTGCCCACACCATAGTTTCCATCTTCCAGTTTTAACCATTGGCTCATTTTGTCTTCACGAGATTCCACGAAGAGTGAAGAGTGGGTATTACTTACAGATTAGGAACCTGAGGCCCACAGGGGAAGGGACTCCCTCGGGGTCACAGTCATTCGGTGGTGGCTCTTCTGACGGGAAGTCTTATGCTTTGTCCTCCATTGCTTTTCTGAGTTCAGTGAACTTGGCAAATGCCACCCCCACCTCCTGTTAGAACTTGGATGGGGGTGGGAGTGATAGCTGAAGTAAATGGAAAATGTGGGCCAGGGACATTTTGGAGAGGGGCTGGCAGGCTACAGTGAGGAAGTTGTCTATGATTTTAAATTTGGGGAGGACAGTCATGCTGATTTGACTTGGGCTTCCCTGATAGCTCAGTTGGTAAAGAATCCACCTGCAATGCAGGAGACCCCAGTTCGATTCCTGGATCAGGAAGATCCGCTGGAGAAGGGATAGGCTATCCACTCCAGTATACTTCGTTTTCCCTTTTGGCTCACTGGTAAAGAATCCACCTGCAATGCAGGAGACCTGGGTTCGATCCCTGGATTGGGAAGATCACCTGGAGAAGGGAATGGCTACCCACTCCAGTATTCTGGCCTGGAGAATTCCATGGGCTACAGTCCATAGTGTCAGAAAGAGTCAGACACACGACTGAGTGACTTTCACTTTGTCATGCTGAAGGATTCTCTTCCAAATCACGGATCTTCTTCCTGACACTTTGCTCCAAAGTAAAAGCAAAGATTAGATCCCCATGGTGATCTAGTCTGGTCCTCTTCTTCCTTCTCTTCGAAGAGGGGTTAGTGGGCTTACTACTAATAACCAGGGTTGAGGATAATGGAGACTCAGACCAAAAAGGAAGGGTAGATTCTGGGAAAGGGAAAAGTGGGTTCTAGGACTCAGGTAGGAGGACCCATACCAGAAGACACCAGAACTTCAGCTGTGAAGTCGAGTACAAAGGGGAATGTCTCATTAGCACTGTGGTAATCTATAGTAATGGGCTCACCTGGTGGCTCAGTGGTAAAGAATCTACCTGCCAATGCAGGAAATGGGGGTTCAATACCTGGGTTGGGAAGATCCCCTGGAGAAGAAAATTGCAACCCACTCCAGTATTCTTGCCTGGAGAGTCCCATGGACAGAGAAGCCTGGTTGGCTACAGTCCATCGGATCGCAAAAGAGTCAGACGTGACTGAGCGATTAAACAGTAACAACAACTGTCTATAGTAATAACCACCAGGACTTCCCTGAACACTTTCTGTGTTTCAGACAAGGCTCATTAATTTACATGAATTAACTCACTTGTTCATAGCAACAGGTCTTGATATAGGTGCTTGGATCACTTCTGCTTTACAGAGGAGGAAAGGGGCAATGCCTGGCCTAAGCCCACATTGCTAATAGGTGTTGCAGCTAAGATAATTAACCAGCCAGTTTGACACCAGCATCCACAAGCTTAACCACTACATTGTTTTACCTTTTAGAATTCCAATGAACTGGGCTCTTAAACTGGGGATTCACGGAATACGAATCCCCTATAATTATGTCCAAAACATCACATGCCTATGCACATATGCCTTGCTCTGAAAGAAAATCATAGCTTTCATTACATTTTCATGGGTGGGAAAGCTGTTGCCTTGCACTATCTCAGGGCCAGGATACACTCTGATCCCTCATCCCCCTGTATCCCTAATCTTGTCCAGATCTTACACTCTACATCAAGCCTTACTATCTCCTGCCTGGACAATCCCATAGCCTGCTGCACTGTCTCCCTAGTCCAAGCTCTCCTCCCTTCTGTCCATTCTTTCCAACATGCAAGCAGGATACTATTTTTTCCATTGTAAAAAATGTTCAATCCCTTCCAGTCACCTGAGGATGATGTATGAAATCCCCAGGGCTGGGACTTTTTCCCCTGGTGGCCCAGTGCTTAAGACTTCGTGCTTTCACTGCAAGGGATATCAGTTTGATTCCTCCTCAGGGAGCTAAGATTCATGTCACATGGTGGGGTTAAAAAAAAAAATTCCCCAGCACCTACAATGCCCAGGAATCTGCTTCCCTGTCCTATTTCATCTCTCACGCGCATCTGTGCTATGACTCCTTGCGACCCCATGGACTATAGCCTGCCAGGCTCCTCTGTCCAGGGAGTTTTTCAGGCAAGAACACTGGAGTGGGTTGCCATTTCCTACTTAGGGCATCCTCCCAAGCCAGGAATCAAACCAAGGTCTCTTTTGTCTCCTGCACCTGGGAAGTGATCTCATCTCTCAACTAATGTCCCGACCAATACCAATCCCTCTCCACCCCACTCACTCTTCATGCCCTAGGTCACAGCTGCCTCCTCCAAGAAGCCTTCTTTGACTGACTCAGGTTTCCTTCTCCTTGGTTCCCTGGACCTGGGGGCTCTGATAGCTTAGGTCTCTTGCATGCCCTGTATTGTCTTCGTTTCCCTCATACCTTCCTGCTTGCCTTTGAACTCTTTCAGAGCAACCGACTATGACTTTTCACTTTTGTGAGCCAGCACTTGGCACAGGACCTAGCACACAGAAGACTAGCAAGTGTTTGTTGAATGACCTAATGCTATTTGTCAGAAGGGAGTACAAAGGAGTCTAGGCAACTCCATGCTCACTTCCCCAAATACCTGTACTTGTTGGATGAGGAGCCTCACCTTCTTAAGTACAGGAGAGAGCACACCTGTATTTGTGTGTGTGTGTGTGTGTGTGTGTGTGTGTTTAGAGGGAGTGTTTGGAGACAGCATGCTGCATTGTCTATGGAGTTAGATAAATGGGGGTTCATATTTGACCATACTGCTAACTGGCTGTGTGACCTTCAGTAAGTTACTTTACCTCTCTGAACTTAGCTGTTCCCTCTATGAAAATGGAATAATACAACTTCCTCACAGGATTGCTGTGGAATTAAATGAATTAATGCATTGAAATGGCTAACTCCATGCCCAGCACCTTGGCAGAGGCTCAACAACGTGGGTTCCCTTCCCCCTACTCGAGTTTGCAAACATGTGCTGAGATTTTTTTATGGGAACCACATGGCTTGAGTTTGTATCTATTTCAGCATATTTGCAAATACATTTCGTCCTAATTTGTATTTTGATTGTATTAACAGTTGTATGCGATTCACAGTGATGATGCATGTTTATGTGTTTACATTTGTCTTCCCGTGGACCGTGGCATACACTGGAAGTGTGTACACATACTGAGAGTTCTGTGGCGATGTGTCGGTGGGTGGCTGTTGCATGTTGAATGAGTGTGTGGAATGTGTGTGGAATTGTGTTTGTTATGTGCTGCCTACAAGGGGGGGAGGTCTGAGTGTACGGGGGTGGCTGAGGAT